AATCAAAAGCGTGCAACTTAAGCAGTGATTTAATATTAGCTACTCAATTGAAAATTAATCATACAACAAATGAGCGTCTGAATTTTAGTTCAGAGGTAGGTTTATTCCAGGCTTGAATTCGTGTACTATCCTTGGGAGTCTGAGATGTTAACATGAAAAAATTTATCCAATTCATGGGAATCACACTGCGCAATCCATTCTAAACAGCACCAAACAGCTCGACGTGGTAAAATGCTGATATCTCATAGAAGTGGTGTGAAATTCATGCAAATGTCTCATGCAGTCACGCCGTGCATTTCATAAAATGAAATGATCATTCTTACTTGTTTTGATCCGCTTCCGACGATAAGGGACAGCTAAAAATAAATTTAAAAATTCTGACTTACTTAGATACTATAGAAATAGGCATTAAAAATGGGAAATATCTCTTGGAAAATGCGTATCTGTAGTAGATAGATTCACGTTTTTCACAACTTACAACCCAATACAAATAATCATGATCTATCTGCAAATCCTCTTCACTGTTTAATAATATGATGATATTATTAAAATTGTAGAGCACAAAATGTAAAGTAACACATATCACATAAACACTTCAGATATTAAGATACCTATTACAAAACCGCTTTGAATGTAAGCCCTAAAATGACGACTGCTAGATGATATGGTAAACTCTGAGATTATGTCTCTAAAGCCGTATTAGACTTTCTGTAGTGCATAGCATGCGCATGGAATCAAATGAATGTTTGATTGGTCAAAAGAGTGGTAGCTTCAAGTACTACAGTTTCCCTAGAATTAGCATTGACTGCTTGATCACGCATTGCAGAGTTGAAAGCACTGAAGAAATAGATGATAAGCAAACTAACGTTATGTGAGCAGTCTTGACCGATTCGACTCCGAGAGCGTCCCGGTCGATCCACAATTGCTCCATCCGAGTCAGAATCAACATCACCATCGTCCGGTGTTTTATTATTATTCCTATTTGAGTTCTTGTCAACGTGATTCACACGAGGACTTCTCGTTGGTGATTTCTGAACAGCTGGCTAGATTCAAAAGTGGCAAATACGATATCCCTCCATCTCAGGTCATTAGTATTTGAACTTTATAATAACTATTTTAAACCGCTGGAAAGACGTTTCTCAGAGACTTCATAAATCTCGTGTCTACAATTCACTACGTAAACAAACGAAGCGTTCAATTCAATATTCAACTCTACTGCTCACCCAAATTGTCATTCATAACTCAGCGTGAGTAGCAATAAGACGAAGTATTTGGTGGAAATTATTCACCTCTCCGTGGCTATGTCCATGGCCCACTGCACCTCCATGCGAGTGTCCATGGCCACCGTGAAACAAACCTATTCCAACCGCATTGATTAGTAAACCAATACAACCCACGACCAACACCTAAAGAGATATGATTATGAAAATGCAGATTATGGAGCAAATTAAGTGTGAGCAAATCTGATATGAGAGTTGCACAATTCGATGCTAGTATAAGTTGCATCGGTATACTGTAGTTGCAGATCTTACAACAATTTTCTCTACTTGATGTATGATCTGCAACTACACTATGCGTATCGTAAAACACAATGAATTTCGAATTTTAAGCGCCATTCACTTCAATCAACAGATGAAAGAAATCAGGGGTGTTTATTTTACTAGGCAAGATACTGATATAGTTCAGCTGTTAGGTTTAACTAATAACCAAGCGCAAAATGTGTTGCTTCTCTTTCGTAACTTATATCTGCTCTTCTCAGCCTGACCCGCTGTTATTTTGTCCGCAGCGCACAAACATAGTCTTACTGGAATATCCACTTACTGAGGTGCTTTTCTTTTTTGTAATGATTCACTGGGAAAACATAAGAGCACAGGAAAAACGTAAGAAAAAAGATAAGAAATAATCCAGAAGAGGAGTTACTTGTTCTCGCTGCATGCGGCGCCTTAAGATCATTTGCTTTGCCGTTGCGGACAAACAGCATACGCGTAAGAATAACAGATATTTGTCTCAATTTTCTCTACTTGATGTAAGATCTGCAACCACACCATGCGTATTGTAAAACACATTGAATTTCGAATATTATGCGCAACTGACTTACTTCAATCAAATACTTGAAGGAAATCAGGGACCTTCATTTTACTATGTAAGTCACCTGAAAGGGATGTGAGATCCGCCTGGGATGAATCAGTCTACCAATAGATTCCAATGAGATTGTGAAGCACATTGCGAGAAGAAACACACCGTTGACGAGTGCACCAAGTACTTCGGCACGAACCCAGCCAAAGCCATTTCGCTTTGATTTTCGTCTCGATATCTGAAATTTGCCAATCACATATGACTCTCAAATCCGAAAGAAAGAAAAGACATTTGAATACAACAACCTAATATTCTAGTCGTAA